TGGTCGGTCGGTCGTTCAACCGCCCACGGCGCTCACGATGTGTACTACCACCGATTTAGCGTCCATCGGCGGTTATGAGAAAGATCTAAAGAGACGGGTACCGACTGCACTCGGAGGGCGGAGATACGACGGAGTGAGGAAAGAGCCGGCGCCGAGTTACCGACCAATCGCTTTGTCGGCCACCTAAAGTACATCGCCGATGTAAGCTAACACATGTCGAGTGAGTAGAGGAGTCGTGAAGACTGGCCAGTCGGCTACCCGTACACCCCTCGGTTGCGCCTCGCCACTGCAACGACAAGGACTTGTCACTTGTTACAGCTTCGCTCGCCAGGTGAGTGACCGACCCGCTGCCGAACACCACCCTTCCCCCAGCTTTTGTCGACGGACATCAACAACGGTCAGCTGCGCGTAGCCGCTTACGAGAACTTCTCGATTATTTACTGGCAGCGCGTGAATTAATTATGCTATAACGCACAAACCGCGTTTTATGATGAGTACGAATGTGGCGATCCGAAGTTGTGAGGGAGCGCGACAGCGTGTTGGGGCCGCTCGTCGACACTGGCATGTTTTGATTGGCCAACGACCACAACCGACAGATGTCGTTTTTTGCCTCGTTGCTGCATGTGCCCAGAGCAGACGAGGCGAGAGCAACAGATCTTCAGTATAGCGACTTCGTATCAAGAACTTTCCTCCTAATCGATACGTTTCTTCAGGCTTAACCTAGACTCCTGACTCGGATCCGGCTCATCCCGCGGATAGCAATTTCGCAGGGATTCATCATCGTCATAGTAACAGCTTTCTGCTACACGCTGGCTCGAAAGCTATCGGCTATCGCTATTTCTCTGTGATGATGCACATACCCTCAGCAATCTTCATACTTTCCACCGGCTGATCAAGTGGCCAATCAGCTTGCAACAGCACACGACACGACGACTGTGATTGCAAGAACCGATGTCAGTGAGCAGTGGCGGTTAAAACCCGTGGCACTAGCAATAGACAAAAACAATAGTGACTAACGAAAATTGAGGCAATATGGAGGCGAGAGTGAGTGACGACTTCGTTGTTGGACTGTAATACCGCAGCTAGCGACGACGATCGCGTCTGGCGATGTTTCTCAACCGGCGCCGCGTCTGTAACACGTGCCTACTACCGCAAGGTCATCATCGCATCAAGCGTGGGTGCCCAACGATGCAGCTAAGCGGAGGTAGACAGCGGTGGAAAGACGCGTTCTCTCGTTCTATCTTGCTCTCACCCTCCTGAGATGTGCGCACGACAAGGGAACGAACGGCGTAGTAATTCACGTGCAATTTAAGAGGTTCACATGAGGATCAAACTCCAAGCGCAAAGTAGGTTTTTTCTTATCAACCGTTAACTCCATTGAGCAATGTATTTTTCGCATGTCGGTTCGATGCAACCAGCCGAGAAATGGGTAGCAAGTGATTGACTTGCGCATGACATTCTGGTGTGGTGAGAATGGATGAGAGGTGAGAAAAACACAAATTGGTCACACCTCGTGCTGATTATTACACTGGACATCATCGGTCATCGTGTGAGTCAAGGTGAAGTACGACTGCAACAGCAGGCACTCAACCAGCGTGATATTTGTATGCGTTTTTGTCATGGAATCTTCGATCACGCGTGCGGAAGCGGATTTAACTCATTGGTCGACGAACGCTCAAAGGACTGCGTCCGTGTGGTGGTCTGCGGAATCGAAAGCTTTCTCGAAATAGATTTGCAGCATGCTGTGTGGTCGCGAGGTCGTCGTCTGTCGTAGAACATCCCACACCCTTTAAACAATCGGTTTGCTTTGTTTTCGTCCAACCCTCGCAACCTCAGTGCATGTGTGAGGTTCCACGAAAGTTTCGTACGTCCGGACCAGAAGACGTGGAGGGGGGACGCAGTTTCTGATGGCGTTTCGACAATAACGTGGTCTGTGATCTGTCAGTCTTTCCGTGATTCGGTATTTTGCTGAAGCGGTACTTTGACAAGCGAACGCTCAGCGCTTGGGCAAGCGTGTCCGGCGTTTATGTCGTCTTTTCTGATGCGGTCTTATTCTACAGCCTTATGCCATGTCTTCGGTTTGCGAAGAACGTATGCCGCTCTGTTGTTCAGCATATTTCATGCACAGGAATTTGTCAGTAGTGCATGCGAAACGCGTAAAAATATTTTCTGCGAATTTGTTTTACCTGCCAGTGGTTCGTTGTGTTCTGGCAGGCAGCAGAGCAGCACAGACGTGCCGGTGGTTTTCAAATTTCAGTGTTTTGATTTTGTGGTGATTTATTAGGCATATGCTTCAGCGGATATTGCTCAATTAGTTTATTCTCTCAGATCGAGAAGTCTATTATGCGGTGAGTAGAAATCGGCGTCACCACTCAAAACAAACTCTTCAACGATGTGTTTGTCAGTCTGAAAGCTGTGCTTCATAATGGCTTATTTTGATCGTTGGAATGTCAGTCTTCCGCTTACTTCCATTAGTAAGCGTTTTAACACCATAACCTTTTCAATGGAGCATTGGCGTTGGACCCTAAACTGTGGTTCAGTACAATACTCAGTTACGAGAGGTATATCTTCTGGCTTCAAATGCAACAACAAGCAAAGTAATTACTGTTGCATACCGTCCCTTTTTCTTTCCAGCATGGTCGCATTCATGTATATACCTCAGTCCGAGTTCAGTTAACTAAATTCTGAATACCAGTACCAGTGGAATATAAATATTGACAGACAGAACTTATGATAAAGCGAGAGCTTCTTCAACCGTCTCTTTGAACTGTATTAGCTAGAAAAGTATGATTTCATTTTTATTATTCAGCATTGTTCTCAATTTTTTGCGTCGAAACGCGACGCGTCTGATCCTGGCAAGAAAAACGGTTTCATTATGAAAGAAATGCTAAGTCCAAAATATCTGACCAAGATCTCGAGCCGACATGGACTATGCAAATGACATTAAACAAGCAGATACCACGCAGTGCTTCCACGTGTAGCACAGCATATTCCTTAGCGCGCAGAAGTTGCGAGGAACTTCTCTGGCGTTAAAGACCTTCCGGTGAAACAGGAAAGTGAATCGGTTAAAGTGGTTGGCAGTTTTACTGTCTCCATCCATCATCTCCACCAACGGCACTCTACAGTCAGAGCGAAATGGCATGTTTGCGCTCCCCTCCACTACAGTTGATTATATGTTGAATATCTGAGCTGAGAAGAGAATATGCATTTCCACATCAACTCGACTGTGCGTTACCTCGTCTAGGTCAGTACTGGTGCACGGCAAGGAGATCGACGTTCTAATGAAGTACTGAAAACGGTGCTCCAAACACGTTAAAGTTAAATAGGAAGATCACCCTTGTTTTCAATGTCATTGGTAACGCGGCTGTACTTAGACTGATGATAAAATACTTTTTCAAAGAAGAAGCACCGAGAACGAGGATTGAGCAGCGTGCAACAGTTTTGGGCATCGGCTAACAATCAGCCTTAACTGGCAGGATCAGATTAGGCGAGACTTTCTTTTCGGCACATGTATCCTCAGTGGACATGACGATGGAAAAAAGGTCGGCACTGTTTCGCAAACTGTTTCGACGCAAGTCATTCATCTTGGCCCATACACTGTATATCGGACCTCAGACAGGAAGCCATCCTCAACAGAAATGTGCCAGGTAAAGGCACATCTGCTTTCGGAAAGAAACTGATCTTTCTACGGTGCTGCAACTTGTTCCTCGTAGCAAAGGCACTGAAAAACTTAAAATAGAGCGAAGTTGCTAGCTGAAGCCGTTTTGCTGACAAAAGCAGTTTCCAGTAATAATCACAACCAACAATGATGACAGCTGTGACCTGAACTGTTAATTTGAAAAATGGCAGTAGGAATAGAGGCTTGAAGTAACTAAATAAAAATTCTAATTTTCCTCAAACACCAATGAATGTGTCTTAATTTCTGTACACACAGTTTTTTGCAGCAAACATAAAAGTGACAAATAAATTAAGAACCATACTGTGCTTCGTCAATATGAGTCCCAAATGTATTAAAGAGGTTTTGTAGAGGTATACACACTAGTTTTATTAAGACATTACCGTTTAGATAGTCCGCACGCACTTACAGTTTTCTGCTGTACAATCTGCTGTACCTTCACCTGGAGAACTTCAAGCAGAAATCTTTAGGCAGTGAAGAACAGGTTTCTATAATGTACCAACCTCCAGGAATGGGGCTTACTTATGCTCCAATGTAGGTAGCATTTGTAAAATTTTGTTTCGCGAAGCCATGTCGGGCTATGCTACCGACGACATGAAAGTAGTTGATACTATGAAGATATCTCGATAGCTTATTAATAGTAACAGGGGAGCTGTTGGGAACATTGACGAACCATCCTCTGCGGCCTTCCAGTCAGCTTTCGTTTTAAACAGAACCATTATCCGGTTCCACAAAAGTCAAAATCGTGCTCCCTCAGTGTCCTCCGATAGGGTGTTCGATGCAACCGGGATCTGCGGACATGTCAGCCGCAGTCCGTGCCGTGTGCCGTCAACGGCTGCTCAATTACTCTACTGAAATGAAGGCTTGCACTCAGTCTCTTGTAACATAAATTTGCTTCATTGTTTGTGCATTCGTAAATAAACTACACGCTCTGATGCCAGCGGCAAAGAACGCTGCCTTGTTGGACAAAGCAATGTCTATAGGAATATGGTAAACAGCGTGTGAAATTACATATTTCTTGCCAATAAAATGGTGCTTATTCTCTTTGACTTACTTTATGAAAGTGAAAGGCAGATGAAATGAACTGGATTCGAATTCGCGGCAATTGATTAGCCTTGTTTGATTTGTTGTTGTCATTATGTAATCATGATCACTAAGGCTG